CTTGTTCCAAAAATAAAAAGGTCATTTGAATTTTATCACTTTCTTGTATGCTTAGGACACCAGTAAAATTATTTTTCAAGGACTTATTGACAGCCCAACTATAGGAAAATATTTATACTCAGAGATTATGATAATGTGTGATAGACCTCTCACAAGAAATTTCCCTGACTTCATCAAGAACAGAAGCCTTCTTGGCTTATGCAGTTGTATATTATTGCTTTCTGTGTGTGCCCAGCTCACTGGCAGTATTAGTTTGAACTGGGTACCTAATTTTTAAAAATTGATTCAGATTTTTTTTGTTCTGGAGAATCCTGACATCAGTTGCTGTATTAGCCAAAATTACTACTATTGTATTGTGAATAATAACAGAGGTGAGGGTAGCATCCCGTAGCTGGTTAAAAAAAAAAAAAAAAAAAGAATGGCGTGAACTTTTGAAGTCCCAGGCAGACAGAATAGATTTTCCAGCACTCTCAGCCCTCTCAGTTTTGTGCTTTCTTAGGGTGCAGACAGACTCTAGTCTTGCTACTAGCTAGCCTGATAAAAGCATGGAGCCTTCTCCACAACAGATAAGAGATATCTTTCAAAATGCATTGTGAAATGAGAAAGACATAATGCAAGACAGTTGGATGTAATTTTGTGAGGAAGAATCAGCGGAACATATTCACTACACCTTTTGCAAAAGGCTTATTTTATTTGAATTTGCTTTCATTATGAAGGTGTTGCCTAGAGGGAGTGATTAAGGCAGGAAAACAATCTGTAAGAGGAATGGTAACATGAGGTGGATCTGGAGGAATATGAAAAAGAAGATGCAGTGCTGCAAAGTTGAAAACTCTCTGAGAATAGGACAAGACCTGTTTTTTTTTTCTCAATGCAAAAACTAAGCACAATGTTTTTGTTGGCCCACTGCCTAAAGAACGTAAGTGAGAAGGCATATAATCCAGTGAAGTACATTAGTTAGGCAGACAAACTTATTTTGAAGACTGCCATGTAGATATGTTGACTGTAATTGTAAGAGAATACTGTCTGGATTGCTTAAAACATTTCATCTTTCTCAGTGTATTTTACACATTTCAATTTGCTTGGTAATATGATGTGATTGTGGTACAATACTGCACTTAAGCAAGGAAAATACAGCTGAGTTTTACACTACGAGTCTGTTTTCTAACTGTTCACATCTGCATACAGTATTTTTATTCTTTTATAGTATGTTCATCTGTGTGGTTATAACATAAATATACAGACAGATTTTATAGACAAATCCTTTTTTATATTTGAGCAATTTGTCAGGGTTATAAAATGTATGGCTTAGAAAGGTCCCTAATTATTTAACAGTGGTACATAGAACCAGAGGAAAATATTAGGACATGCTTAAATTGACTTCTACTGCTCAAATAGGCAGGAAGTCATTACAAATAACATTGAAAAGTGATTTGCTAGCAGACATTTTGCCACTTCATTGAAGTAGTTCCCAGAGACCAAAGTTTGTCTACATGTAATTTCCAGGATCAGGATCCTCAAAATCTATTTAAGGATTCTTGAGTTTTCAAGTTAGATACAAAGCAGCAATAAAAAATTATTAAAATTATATCTTTATATCATTATATTAAGTATAGAATAATATTACTATATTTAATATTCTTTATATGTTGCGTAATTATTTATTATTATAATAAATAATAATAAAATTATTTTTACTTTCATGTTGAGCATAATTTTCAAGAATGGTTATAGTTTCCTAAAGTTCTCTATAACATTACACCTGCAATATTTCACATATTTCTCTGTTTCATCACTGGTGTTAGCTGGCAGTGACTTGTGTTCGCAATGCTAGGATTAATTCTGTGCATCAAACATGGAAACTGTGGTGAAGGAAGAAAGTAAGCTCTTTCCTAAAGTATTCTTCTAACGTATTCTTTTACATGTAAAAGTGTTCCAGAAGGAGACCCTTCTCACCTTTCTGTGAGGGTACAGTCTCTTTACTCAGTTGAGCATCATGGTTAGCAGTAAAAACTAGTACTTAACTTGTTCTTCCACTCTTCTCCTATTATTGCTTAATTCAGCATGAAAGTTGGGAATAATTATATTTTATGATCTATCTTGCTTTTGTATTCATCCTACAAGTAAATAGTCTTTCAGCAATTAATTTTATAGGCTACAAGTAAAAGCCATTTAAGCAGCAAGAATGATTTTGGTCCTCTTAAGGCTGCAAGAAATTATTCAGTAAGGTACTATATTTTATGTTGCTTTGATGAAAAATATATATTTATGGATATTTTTACATCTCCTACATCTTACTCCTGCAAGGAGAGATAATGACAGAACTCTTCTTTTTTTCTTTTTTCTTTTCTTTTTTGTGGTCTTTTTAATTAGGGTTCCAGTTCAGTTGTAAAAGTTCAGCATAATCTAATTTGGAGCTGGTTAAATGCTTAGGAGCAATCTGTTTGCTCTCACATAGAACTCCCATTAACATGCCAGCTGCAGTTATATTGAAACAAGTTTAGATGGCTTCATGTCACTGCAGAGGAAGGAGATTTAGACTTTGAAATAAAAAGACTTGAAGACCTTATTTAAGTAGAGGCTGGGTAAACTAGCAGTGCTCTGTGGGAAGTGAGTTATGGACAGCTCTGAGTAGCAGCTATCATACCTGTAAATTCGAGCAATGTGTTTCCATTTTAGAGCAATTTCATTCATATATTTCAGAGCAATGAAAAGGTCACCAAGTTCTGCAAAGGCCCTCATTATATATTCCTTCAGCATCCAACATACAACTTGAGATGAGGTTTGTGGAACTATAGCTGAGAGAATTCAGAAAGAGCTGTGGATGCAGAATAATTAAACTTAGGGTTCTCTGCCAGCAATAAGAAAGCTGAGGTTTGTATCAAACTAATATCAGCATTTTTAGTTCAGTATTAAGGACCATGTCATGAATATGTTTCAGATGTTTGACTAGTGACACTCTTAGGGGAAGAAAGTGCAGTCAGAACCTGAAGCTGACTGATGATTAAATTTGACTAGAAACTCTAAAAATAGTTGACGTGATAGCAACACAAGGGTGTACAGTATTATGTCATTTTTTAATGCTTCATTGTAACTTAACACTGGTCTTTCGGTTTGATTATAATTAACATCCTCTGACTGTTTGTATTTGGCTTACAGTATGTCTCAATGTTATGTGTTGAGAATTGTAAAAGGTGCATGATTGTGCTGTTTCTGTTCAAGTTGTTTCTAATTAAAAACTTCACTGTCCAGTGTTCTTTCAATAAGGGTACCTTATACAATATTTACATTATTTTAGGTATAGAAAAACTGGCTTTTCAACCAAACTGAATGATGCATCTTGATATCCAAGAGTGTGTGTGTGTTTATATCTACACATGTATACACTTACACATATATTGTGAATTTGTTTTAGACAAGGACTCCTAATTCTTTCCTACTCACCTTATGCTTTTCAAATCTCAGGCATCTGGAAGGAATCAAGACTTTTCATGTAAGCTGAAAGTCATAATTCACTCTATGTATCCGTAGAGTGGTAGTTAGTCACTAGAACTCTCCCCAAAATTAGGGACAACAAATAGCATTAAATAACAGTCTAATGACTAATAAATGCCAGATAATACAGGATTCTTCTACCTGCATAAGCTTAGTAATTGGAATGACTGTCTTTTTATCCCATTTGATACTTTAGGTTTACAGCCACTAAATTCCATATATATGTTTTGATTCTTTTGATTCCACAATAGAAAGCATTTATCTTTCTTTTATGTTCTATCTTCTATTGTTTCACATTTTCTAAAAAGAAAATACCTTTATGGGTCCTTGAGCTGGCCCAGAATTGTTGCTTTTCATTTTTTCAATTCTGTAATAGCTAAATTTTGACTACATTTCTGAAGTATTAACTTCTCTTTCAAGTAATAAAGGAGTTACTTTCCATAAAGTTTGAAGTTCCAAAGGAAAGATATAAGCAATTTTTCATATTGTCAGCTTATCAACTGAAAGACTTTCTTTCTTCTAAAACTTTAAATTAGTGAAGAAAAAAACTCTGAATATTCATCCAAATTCTAGTGGTTTTAATATAAGGTTTAATTAAATAGTTCAAATACTAATCTTAAAATATACTTGCACATAAATGAATAAATTTGGTAATAACTCTTGAAATAATAAAGTTATTTGTAATGTAATGCATGAATTTTAATAGCAGTGCATATACAAATCTATTTTAGCTTAGCGGTATGAAGTAGCCAAAATATATTTGGGACTGTTACAGGATTTGTGGGAGCTTTCTCCTTTGAAAGATGCTCCTGGCTTTGAATTTCAAACACTACCTTTTGTAGCAGGTGAACAGAAGTAATCCTCTCTTTTTTTTAATTTTTTAAAAAAATTATATTTAAAAAGACAGATAATTACACGTCTGCCTCACATTCAGTTAAGTCTTTGCTGATGGGCTTTGAAGGGTGTGTTTTATATTTTGCTTTCTTTCGTTTGGGCTTCGTTCTTTAGTTTTGGGCTGGGATATTTTTGGTTTGATTTTTACTGTCAGTCTTTTCTGAGAAGTTGCTGATACCACTGTAAGTAGTAAACTGTTCTTTAAAGGAAGCTTTGATGAAAATTCTAGTTTGAAATAGAAACTGTAAAAGTACTAAGCTATCAGGAGTAGAAAGCCATCCTCCCTGTTGCCTGAGAATTTTTTTTCATGTGAAAGCAACATAAATCTTAATAGAAAAATTAATGGTAGCAAGGTAGACTAAAACAACCTAATTTTGGTCTGAAATTAATCTACTGTTATACAGTAATATACTGTATTAATTGAATTTGCGTGGCTCTAGTACTCTTTCCATTGTTTTCCAAGCATCATTCTAATTATAATTTTCTGTTTGGTCGCTACTTGGATAATGTAAGTGGTACCCATTATTGAAAGGTAGTCTGTATTTGTACTAATACAGAGAATGCCAGTTTAGAAATGAGCCTGATTGCATGGTTCATTTTGTTCTCCTTTGTAGAGCCAGGCTGCGGCCCACTACAAAGGCACTAAACATGCCAAGAAGCTCAAAGCACTGGAAGCCATGAAAAATAAGCAGAAATCTGTTACTACCAAGGACAGCGCAAAGACTACCTTCACTTCCATCACTACCAATACCATCAATACCAGCTCTGACAAAACAGGTTAAGCGACAATCTTTGTTGGTTTCGTTTGGTTTAGTTTTGATTTGGCTTGTAATTTTGTTTTCCTTCTTGTTTAATTCCATGTCTGTTTGGTTATGTGCTTGCCAACATTGATTCATGCTCGATCCATCTTTCTGTGTGATATTGATTTCTTTAAGTCCTTTCAGTAGGCTGGTAATAGTCTGATAGTCATGGAGCTGATTTCTCTTCGTGAAAAGAGGCTTGACATTCTTTTTATGATGGAATGCAGTACTCATTACTTGATTAACATATCAACTGACCTAAACCTCCTGGTCTGTATGCACTATCTATCAATAATTATATATGGCACATTTCTTTTAACTACAATGTAAAAAATTGCACTATTTGTGTCTAGAAGCCTCTTAAAAATCATTTGCAGTAAAAACCTAATTTTTCATAAATTTCAAACATTGCATTATTTTTTTAAAATGGCTATTGCATGGTTTTGAAATGGAAAAGAGCTGTATAACCTCTATTCCACACAATCAGGTAAGTGCTATCGATGCCAATTATTCTGCTTAAAAGAGTCTTCATACTGAAATAATATTGTTTAATTTATTGTGTGGGTAAAAGTTACTCCTTTGCAAATAAAATCTACATATTTTAAAAGTCAACAGGATTTGGTTGCCATGGCATTTTAAAAATGCAGCCATTGTTGAAAATTTCAAAGGAAGATTGTAAGGTCACTGAGAGGTAGTCTAGTGTATCACAAAATTTGACTGCTCTTGTGTATAAAGGGACACAGTTTACATATTTAGACATAACCAATCCCCCTCCCCAAGCAAGGCAAAAATAACCACAGGAAAAAATCCCCACAGCTACAAGTTTCACCTACAATGAAACATGAGACCTACCTATTGATGCTGAAAATGGCTCGTTTGGAACCACTTCTGATCAATAAGTTCAGCATTGTAAATGGATGTGCAGTAACCAACTATAATACAACAGGAAAGTACCTTGCAGGCACCTGCAGTACTTTCTAGAAGACACATCTTCACTGTATTTGTTATAGACAGATAGCTCTATGTCTCTCTCTAGAAACATATCTTAGTTATAACTTACTATTATAGGCAGCATTTTCTTTTTCCTATGCAGATTTATAACGAAATTATGATGGCTTTAAGAAATATTTGCTACATGGTTTTTGTCTTTGCTACCACAAGAAAAGAAAAGAAAATATTCTGAGGTTTTGTGTGATGAAAGAAATTAAGTATGGGAGAATAGGAAAAATGTCAAAAGTTATTTGGCGAAATATGTGTTTCTAAGTATACCAACACCTTCAAAATTTTCTTGTGATATTACTTGTTCAGGTATTCAGAACAGGAAGGAGGATGTTGTGTGAAAGAGTGATTTATTGTTTACCGAATATTATCTAGTGGTTGAAGAAAATAACTGAAGAAAAGAAAGATCTTTTAAAGATTTAAACTGTATTATTCAAAAGCTTTTACCTTATGCTGCATAAGTTTGAATGATTTTCCTTTGTGCCTTAAAACCAATCTGAATTTTTCTATCAAGCTTTGCATTAGATCCCTGACAAGATATATGCACTGTCCTGTATCCAAGGTCAGTAGTCCAAATCAGTTTTTATATCAGCATAAGTAAAAAAATGTCAGAAATTCATCTGCACTCATAAGCAGTGGCCTATGCTGGAGTTTCATCAGCTTTACACAGTGGTTGCAAATTCCTGGATTCACTTCATAGAATGTGTGTAAACATATGTGTATTTATATGAATACATATATTTATTCTGTGGTAGAAACACTGACCCTAATGGGATTCTAAAGTTACATATTGATGTTAATTGACAAAAACCCAAAAATTTTACAATTTCTTAAATTATTGAGACCCATATTCAACTTCTGCCAAAAGCCCTGTTCAATCAGTTGCATTCAAAGTAAGGTAAGCAGTTCTATCTAGATGCAGTTAATACAGGTCAGCATTGATGTGACTGGAACAGAATAAAATCCTTGGTGTAAATTATCCTTTGTCAAGCACGTATACATAGCGAGGGAAAAAAAAACTGGGTAGCCAAAAGGATGACATTTTCTGTCTACTATAAAAAGTAAAAAAATTAATGAATTGGATTTTATTTCCTTTCTGGTTGTTCTTATGTCCTGTATTAGCTTGATAGAACTTTTAAGGGCAAAATGATTCTGAACATCAGAATATACAGCACTGTGTGTGTCTCTACATTTGGAAATTATCACTGTAAAAATCAAACAACCTGATAGTAGTACACAGTTCTCAGGGAATAGCTGTACTAGCAAATTTAATTCATAAATTTATCTTTCATAGCTAGAAGACAGTTACTAAGTCCATGTATTTGTGATCATTTGGAACAAAAGATTTTTCTACAGTATTTTAAAACTGTCTGCTGAAGATTAATAGTGAACCCACATACACTGAGGAGAGGGTCAAGTACATATCACTTCTTATATATCTTCTACAGCAAGGGTTAAATGCTGAATTGCATGTCAGTCACAGCATATTGGTCAGGGCTTCAGATCACTGGTTCTGTGTGCCCACAGAAGCTACAGTGAACAAAATGTTGTCAGGAAACCTGTGCTGCTATGCAATAAAGGATTGTGAAAAAAATTATATAATATACTAACTGATTCAAGGGCTAAAGCAGTAATTTTTTATGTTTCTTATTCTGGAACTATTTTCTTAAATCTGGTGCCAGCATGTGTTATTGACACTGTACAGCTCACAATATAATCTAAATTCTTAAAACCTCTCACACAGGATTCGTGGTGTTTAAATGATGGGTTAAAGAGAAAACATAAGGTATGAGGGTTTTTTGCTAAATCTGTGAAAATAGCTAATTTTTCTTTCCTTTTGACTAACTTTTGGAATTATTAGAAGGCTTGAACTCAAGAAGTCTTTGAGCAATAAAATGTCATGAAGACATCATATAATGGCAATGCCATTCTCAAGATGTGAGAACTTTTTTATCCTATCTACTACTTCACACACTCCTTTCATCTGTATTTACCAATTTTTATGTTACATGGTTAGTCAGGACAGAAAAACAGAAAATGTGAGCTTTACAAAGAGAAGCTTACTTTGTGGCATTATACAAACTGTATTTCACTATTTCTTCATTCTCCAATTCAGGTGTGACAACAAAAATGCATATTTTTTTCTATTTATTAACACACATGCATACATATTCCCTGAGAGGAAATTGTTAAACATCTTTGAAAGCTTTGCAAATTGCTCCTCCTTTCTGAAAAGGTATGTTTTCTTCAAAAAGCTGCTTCATATCTCCAGCTGTAAGGACTGATACTTTAGAGCACTTGTCAAAATATATTTAGATAAAGTGCATTCTATCATCCTAATTAAAATACATGTCCAGTAAGGTTATTGCCCTGTGCTTGTATTTTTTGAAAATAGATTGAATCACCAATATTATATCCATATAAAATTATGTCCCTCTAGTTTTTGCGTATGCCTAAATATTAATCTTTTCCAAAGCTATGTGAAGTTAAGCAGGACCCTCCATGACCACATTATTGCAAATTAAGTCTTGAAGATTTTGGGCTGCTTTAATTTATTCATTTATTTATTTATATATTTATTCAACAGAGAATTCAGTATGAGTTATATCATTTGGTATCAATGGAAAAGAAGGAATAGACCTTTCAAAGGAGAAAAACATGTTATTAGGAGCCATCAGTATGGCGAAGTCTTTAATGCTGCTTTTGAATGTTATACCCTGTGCCTTGGATCCTGTGCACTTAAATGTGATGAACAGCTCTTAGACAAAAATGTGATGAGCAGAAAAAGTGTATATCTGGGCCAAGGCACAGACGAGATCTTCTATCACTAGTACAGTCTTAACAGCTAAGAGACCCCTGTGCTGTCAGAGAACAAAATACTGGTGCCTGTCCTAGAAAGCTTACAGTTTCACATAGGATGAGAAACAACTTAAGGAGCAGACACCATAAATGTAACAGGCAGGTGTTTAAAGGAGTGGTAACATAAATGTGCTCAAGTGATAAAGGCATCACAAGGAATGAAAACACTGAGGGATGGATTAGAAGGAAAAGGAAGAGAATTGTTTTGGTTTTTTTTTTTTCAGATACTGAGCATTGGTGAAGGCATAAGATCTCTTTATTTTTCTTTCACTGACTCATATGAAAATTCTTGTGTAAAAAATTTTAGTTTCGTTACCCCTTTACAAATCCATTTTTAAATTTTTTTTCTTCCTTTCTGTCTAAGATGTGGTAGGCTATTTCTGGTCAGCAGAAGAAACTCATTCCTGAAATAGCAATTTCAGCACAACTGGGATAATTATGAAATCGAGAGCAGTTGGAGTGGGAGAGAACAGTCATTTGGACAAGGTCTTGGACATAAAAGTGAAGGCAGGGGGGAGAAAGCAATCAGAAATGATGTGGTAATTTAGGGTAAACTTTGCAGGAGGAAGAAAGGTAGATGGCATGAAATAGAAAGGTTTAGAAAAATGAGTTTGGCAGTCAAAATGCCAGAGGATCACAGAATTTTGAGATTTTGTGAATGGTTGTCATTATGGATGTCTGAAGATTGACAAGGCCATTCCTACAGGTCAGAGCAGAGTCAGCCTGAGCAGGATACTGAGTATATTTGTAGTTGACTTTCGAGCACCTTCACAACCTTTTTCTGGACAACCAGTTCTATGGTTGACACTCTGAAAGAAGAGCAAAGAAGTTTTTCTTGTGTTTCAGTTCCATGTCCTGTATTTCAGCTTCTGGCTGTTGTGCCTTTTTCTGTCAGTGGACACCAATTAAAAGAGTCTCCGTATTTTATATGCCCTGACTTCATCAGGTATTTATTTATATACACTGCTGGTTTATTTTTCAAGTGGTGCCCTCCAGGTTTCCAAGTCCTTCTTTACAAAGCTGCTTTCCAGATGCTTAACCTCCAGCCCAGACTGATGTGTAGGGTAATGCCTTCCCAGCTGTGGGACTTTTGTGCTTTCCTTCATTGAACTTCAAGGG